GTTGCTTGGATGACTTGATGCCCTTGATGCTGCTTGCTTGCCATATTGGTTGTAGACAGACTTAGCCTTGGCCTTAGCCACGCAGCCTTGGCGTGAGCTTAGCTTGTCAAGGGCCGGCGCCATGATGGGAGGAGGAAGCAGAGGAAGGCCGCCGCTGCCTGCCCGAGCTGCTTCAGCTGCAGCTGATGAAGCTGAAGCTGCTGCTATGGGCTGGACAGTGGTTGGCGAAGAAACTGCAGCTGCAGACAGCGAGGCTGACGCTGCTGATCTAGCCGCGGCGGATGCAGCAGCTGCAGCCGCTCTGCCTGCGGGCATTGCTTCCTCAGAGTTGGGATTGATCATCTTCTTGAGGTTCGGCGAGTACAGCGACGCAGACAAGGGCCTTGCAAGAAACAGCCTTGCGATGGTGGTGGCTGTCATTGGGTTCCTGAAGCGCAGGCTGCAGTCTGCAGCTGTGTGGGGGTGGCTGACCTACTGGCAGGCAGCCCTGCTCGAAACAATCTTCCATCTGGATGGCGCCAGCCAGGCCAGGGCCAGGGATGTGAGGCCGGAGCCGCAGTACGAGCTCCCTGCAGTGGCGCTTGTTGAAGGGCCTCAGTCTGGCCCAATCCCTTTGTTGCAGGAGCCTGCTGCCTTGCAGGAGTACTATGAGTTCTTAGAAGGTAGTGTGGAGTTCTTGACACTCATGCTGACCGAATGGCAGCAGCAGCAGCAGGCTCAGCAGGCAGCAGTGGCAGTGGCAAGTAGCAACAATCCTCGTTGGCCTCGTTGTGACAAGCCTGGGCCACACATTTGGTTGTTGTGGCTCCGCAATGTCTTCTTGAGCCAGTTGCCAGAGCTGCAGTAATGAGCCAAAGCTGGTCTGAGTTTTGGTTTGCGTCTGCGTCTGCGTTGGCAGCCCTGGCAGTGGCAGCGTGTGACAATTTGTGTGTGTGAACTGGTTGGCACTGGTTGGGCTGGCTGGCTGCCAACCAAGGTTGGAAGTTGGAAGCACACACGCATGTCTTTCAGAAAGCTTTCATTGTCATCAATGAGTTGTCAATGAGGCTGCGGCTGCGAGGCACGGAAAAGAAGAAAAGCGGCCCGGGCTGTCTGCTGCTCAACCGGAAAGTTGTCAAGTTGTCATGGTCACTCATCGGATCAGGAGGATTCAAATAGTTGTAGACATGAATTTCACATGAAGGCAGACACGTAAACTTAAGCAAGCTTCAGACCCTATTCCAAGATTATTGTAAAACTCTTCTGAATGATTGATGGTTGTGTGGTCGCTTTCTTCCTTCGTTTTATGCTCCATCCTTTGCCCTGACAACTTGCTAACGCTAGGAAATAAAATGCCAAGCCACATGGGCTCCCAGATGTTGCGCCTGGGCGCAGGTTGCTGAGTGACATACCGATTGTACCTTGAATTGCGTGATTGTTCCAGCCCCAGTTCCCTGGATTCCTTGCAGTTGTGCCGTTGCCCCAGTGATGATGGCCTGGCAGCATGAGCGGCATGAGCTGCTGCATCAATGCCAGTACTGAGGGGCGCTTGTAATAGGTGACAGCATGGTGCAAGATTTGTGCTTTGCAGCGTGCGGTTGGCGTGAGGCTTGCTGTGGTGTAAGACAAGTAGGGCGGAGCACTTTTGCAACCTTCACACAGGACCCCAGTAGGAATGACCATGCGAGGGACTATACACATTCTACAAGCTGTGGATTGCAGCAAGAATCCTCGATGTCACCAAGGAAGAAATGAAGCTCCTGGTCAAGGACCGAGTGCACCCGGTGGGTGATATTATTTTCAGATGCTTTGCACTAGCTTTCAATTGTAAGTATATATCATTCGTGAGGGATGGCCTGAACCTTGGCAAACATGGTTACACGGTCAACGTGAGCGCCATCATCTCGGCCGTCGACCCGAACAAATGCGACACACCCCTGCTGGATTGGTGCCTTCGGAAAGGGCACTGGTTGCCAGAGGACTACAACAAGAAGTGTGTCCGGGCACGAGAAGCCCAGAAGAACTTGGACGAGGAGTTCCGTCGACGCACTCACAGACTGTCCATTGGGGACCGGTATGCGTAGTGAAGATGCTGATTGCGGCACGATGTGGGTTAGTCCCCATCTGTTGCTTGCGTCTCATCAACACCATTGCGACGGAACGACTCTACATTATGATATGATTTCATATATCCAAGTTGAATGGATGTGTACATGGTTACATATTCCGATGACTATGACGCTCTGGATATTCATGGATGGAACTATTACCTTATAGATGATATCTTTTCATTATTTATGCATTGTCCATGGTATCTGGAATGGCTATGATTTGCATTGATTACTCACCGATGTTTCTTTGCCGGAAATATGCAGACCGATTACAAGCGGGCGCCTCTGGTGGACTTTTGCGGCCAACCCATTTATGGATGACAGCTGCGCGATGCGCAAATGCGGCAGCTGGAATGTTCGCTGGCGGTCAAGTGACGTGACAGTGTATTATATACACCTGCATATGGATGTGTGCTTCGATTGGAGGATGAATGTTTCACTTTTCGTACAATCGAACCCGGCATGTTTCACAGCGAATGAACGGTGTAGTGATAGCAAGTAAAAGAATGCACGACACGATTTCGTAGTTGAAGCCGTGGCCAGTGGAACGTTTTGTGGTGTTTGGACCGCATGATGAACAATGCGACCCAAATGGGGGATGTTAAAACCCTCTAGGCCCCGTGCCGAAATTGGGTAGCTGTTCTGAGGTCCTTGTTGGTGTTGCTTCCCAAGTTCCATTGATCGCCATTTGGCTCAAGACACAATTGAGGTTCAAGATCTGATGTGTGACTGCATACATACGTGATCGGCATTGAGAGCGAAAACACTTCGCTTGCGCTGCATTTGTCAGGACCACTGTTGTAACTATCATTCCTTCTCCCTTACAACGTTTACACGGGTTCGGCTATAACGGCATCGTCCGTATACACCTTTCTACGTGGTTGGTATTACAGCTTGAGGGTTCGGTGCATAGCGTCCCACGGGACGTCACCTTGCCGTCTCTTGACAAAACCTTAAATGATATGATTAAATCCATTGATGACAAAATGAAACCAGTTGAACGCGAACAACAAAGCAACGAAGAGAAGGAGAAGATGAATAAGATTTTGAAAAGAAAGGGATAGGCAGACCTAGCGGTGATTATGATACCAAGCGTAAAAAATACTGCGATATGTTAAATAAGGGACAAATCAAAAGTCCAAAAGAACAAACATTAGAATATTATAAACTAATTAAGGGCGATGATGATAAATATGTAATGGTTGGAAATTAAAATCTAGATAATTCTAATAATATGAATTTATTAGAATTATTTAGCAACAAGACCTATATAAAATACCTAGTAGTTTGATATTGGAAACTGTGATGAGTTTGACAGAAATCGGGGGCATGATTTTGATAAAATCGGGGAATGATTTTGATAGAATCGGGGAATGATTTTGATAGAATCGGGGAATGATTTTGATTATAACCATGCTATGATTATAACATGTAAAATATTATATGTTATAAGTATATTCCAATATTTAATTTTATTTCTTGTAAAAAAGTATTTAAAGAAATAAACACTATATATATATATATAATAGAAATGGAGTTTCAAAAACTACCAGTTGAAGTTATTAATAATATTATGTCCTATAAATATGGCAAGCCAGAATATATGAAAATAAAGCATAATCATAATGAAACATTGAAGAGAATACAAAGAAGATATAAAATTGACAAAACTGACATAGAAAGGGAAACAAAGCACTGTAATAATTTAGATGGTGATAAAGTAAAGAGACAAATATGTCAATATTATGTTTCTAGGAAGGTTCCATTAAGCATTGAAAGTATTGAAGATATAGTTATGAAAGAAGGGGATGAAATAGATAGCTTAATAGATAAGTATGTAGGATATGAAAGTTATAAAGCAATAATAATAGTTGATATAATTTTATGTGTAAGGTTTCATCATTTTAATTATTTTGAGGATGATGAATATAGCAGTTATGGTTTTGATTTTCATAGTGGTAGACACTTAATGGGTTCTATAGACCAAGATAATATAACTGATGTAATGGAATACGCAGTTGCAACAATATGTAGAAATATTGATAATGAAAGGAATACAATGAATATTGTAGGAGTAAAACACATAAGGTTTATACTAATTATTGATGAACCTGAATAATATAACCATACTATGATTATAACATTTATACCCTTATATGTTATAATTATAATGTAAGTATAGCGTTTTATATATTGAAGATAAAATCCTACAAGGTGGGCCATGCGCAACTCCGGAATATCCAAATTTTGAAAAATGATTAATTATTTGTCTTCTCATTGAATTATTGAAAATGTTGTTTCTTATTGAATAATTCTTCTTAAATGATATATATATTTATCTCTTTTGAAAAAAATATATTTTCTAAAATATTTTGGAAAATGTGTGTTTTTGAAAATAAAATGTTTAGGTGTATTGAATTTTTCAAAAAATAATTCAATTTTTGTTTTGGTATGCAGTACTAAAAAAATATTTATCAAAATGTGTTTAGACTGTTTCAAAAAATGTTTTAAAATGGCTGTTTTGAGGCGCTTATTCAAAAAATGCAAAAAACCTAGGGTAGACCCTAGACTTTTGAGTCCGAAAAAAGTTGCGCATGGCCCTACCTAACTGTTTGAAGCCCGTTCAGGGAGCGAAGCCTGCAGCTGACCTCCGAGGGTTTTCCGATTACACATTTTCTGGGAATACCGCCCCATTCCGACCTTCCTTCCCGAATGTCGTGTCATTCACCTAAAGGCGTGCCCGCCGACGGTAGTGCAGGGGTTCCTTATCCGGGATCGGCTGAAGGGCATGTTTGCCCGAAGAACCACAAGTGGCGTTTGTTTCCTTGAGATCCGCCCAGTAATTGATAAACTTTCTGGCTTGGGAAGACCTGCCACACGGACCAACCTTGGACATTCAGTGACCCCAAGGACTTGAGGACTACCTGCTGTCGGCTTCGTGCCTCATGGAGCTGAACGCCTTCGCGCAGCGCCACGCTTGGAAGTTCGACGAAGTGGGCCCCAGCTCGCCGAAGCACGCGCCTGCGATGGATTTTTTGGCGGGAATCCGGGAATGAGTTGGAGTAACCTGAAACTGAACCGGCCCCTTAGGTTACAGCCAGGTGACGCAGCATGAAAGTAGTTGGAAGGTTTTAGTGAAATGCCACAAAGGTCACCCACACACACACACAGCCATCTAAAGGGAGTTGTGCCATCTACTTTCACCCTTGCATGGAAGCGTGGGAGGATGGGGACCTGCAAGGACTATCCGTGCAAGGGGCTATGAGCTTTGCTGGACATTAATCAAGTTCGTTCCCGTGTGGGAGCGTCCTTGTTTATCGTTGGTGCCCTTCTTGGGATTTTTAGTTGAAAGAGGGCTGGGCTTCGTCTTTTTGCGAGTTCCGTACCCATGGCACACAGAAGCTGAGGACCACCCCCACGACTGGCACGACATCTTCCAGGACCGATTCTGCCTTGCGATGTACGAGATGAACCAGCATATGTCTGTCTTGTCGTCCATCATCCCGCAAGCGCAGGAATACGAGGAAATGATGCGAAGAAGGACTGATCAGTTCCTGGACCGGGAAGGGGTGACAGCGGAGCAAGCTGTGGAAGAATGCGACCTGGATGCACGCCCAAAAGTGGGCTTTCAGGATGTAAGTGGCTTGGATATGTTGCGCTGGTGAACATGTCCCAGCTCTGCAGGCTTTCGGATGAAGAACGAAGGCAACTCCAAGTTCCAATATTTTGAGCCTTGCCTGGGTTGCTTTGGCACCATGTTTGGCCCAGCCAGTGGGCAAGCCACTGCTGGTACAACACAGCAAAGACCGGTGCCAGAAATACCAAGCTGAGAAGCATATCTTTGCTTCATCCCGCCATATCCACAGATAGTTTTGTCCACACCTGAGGAATACCTGGCCGCAGCCGTCGACTATCGCAAGTTCCACGCGCTAATGCTGGATTTCAAGGCCAGGGCCAGTGGCAGCAGCCCCGCCATGGTTTGTGGCTATTTGTGATCGAGTATGGCCAAGCCTGGTTGGCACGGGTGTTTCTTTTCGAGGGTACCTTCTTTGGTTTAGGGAAACCACCGACACGGAGTTCAGCAAAACAGCCCTGGATCCTGCAGGAAGGGAGGCGCAACCTGACGCACTGGTGGACTTGCTTGCAGCTGGAGGAAGATGATTAGGGCACCCGTGCGTCACATCAACATTTGAAGCCTGTGATCATTGGAGATGTGCATAGTCAACACCTCGGATAAGAAACAACCGGCCAAGCCGCAATGTAGCCTCAGCAATTTGAAGACTGGGGCGCCGCTTCACAGATTCCCTGCTGGTTTCATGCACGTGTAGGATGTATATTTTTCGCTGGCAGCTGGCCTGGGTAACTCGAACAATTGAGGAGCATGGCTGCAGCTGCAATTCGCTTTGTACAGCGCGACGGTTCATGGCTGCCACGTGGCCACCCGTTGCTGCGGGAAGACCCCGACTTCTGTGCGAGGGCTCATCCCCGAGCCTGCAACTTCTTGCCCGGTGCGGCATTGCGGCAAAACTGGAAGGAGCGAGTGCTTTGGCAAAACCGACCTCAGATGAAAGCAACCCGGAGTGTGCTTGTGTGTTTGTGTGTGTGTGTGCGTGTGTTCGCGTGAGTGCAAAACCTCAAACTGGCCAACCCACCATCAATAAGCCAGGCGTTGATATACCAGCTGAGGAAGCTTCACCGGGACCCGGCCTTGCGCCCCCAGGTACATCCTCTTCGTTACGGCCTCCAAAGATGGCACGGTCGTGGTGTATCGCTGCTACAGGCCCATGGGCAATCGGTTTGGCCAATATCTGGGAGTGGCCAAGGGAAGCCCTTGTAAGGGAAGAATTAGTCATGGGCGTGGTCACAGCAACGTTCTTTTCCCACAACCATGAGGGGGTAGTGGCCAGCTCAGGGCCGTTAGGCCTCTTTGCCAGCCAACAGGTGTCGTCCGTGTCAGTTCTTGCTTTTCGAAACCGGCTTCAGTCTGGCTTTGGTTCGGCCCATTTTGTGTTGTTTGCTCTGTGTGCCACTTGGGTCCGTCTCACGGAGGCCTCGTGCAAATCAAGCCGTGCGCGTCGAGGGGAACCATCCCACCAAAATGTTTGGCGGGCATAAACTCCCACGTGCCGGCCAACATTCTGCCGGTCCATGGTCCATCGCTAAATGCCTACACGCACATACACGCACATACATGCACATGCAAGCAGGCAGAGAGTGAGTGAGAGAGAGAGAGAGAGAGCGAGCGAGAGAGGAAGGGGGAGAGAGAGAGAGAGAGAGAGAGAGAGAGAGAGAGGGAGAGAGGGAGAGAAAGAGTGAGGGACAGAGGGAGAGAGAGGGAGAGAGACAGACACAGACAGAGGGAGAGCGAGAGAGAGAGAGAGAGAGAGAACAGAGACAGAGAGGGCGAGAGAGAGAGAGGGAGAGAAAGAGAGAGTGACAGTGACACAGAGACACAAAAAGACACAGACACCGAGCCACAAAGATGCGAGACACAAAGAGTCTCAGAGACCCAGACACCGAGCCACAAAGACGCAGAGACACAGAGACACAGAGACACCGGGACACAGAGACGCAGAGACGCAGAGACACAGAGACACTAAGAGACCCAGACTCCGAGCCACAAAAAACTCAGAGACACACAGACACAGAGACACAGCGACACAGAGACGCAGAGACGCAGAGACACAGAGACACAGAGACACAGAGACAGAGAGACAGAGAGACAGAGAGACAGAGAGACAGAGAGACAGAGAGACACAGGGACACAGAGACACAGAGACACAGAGACACAGAGACACAGAGAGACAGAGACGCAGAGACGCAGACACGCGTAGACGCAGAGACACAGAAACACAGAGACGCAGAGACCCAGAGACGCAGAGACGCAGAGACACAGAGACACAGAGACACTAAGAGACCCAGACTCCGAGCCACAAAGACCCAGAGACACACAGACACAGAGACACAGCGACACAGAGACGCAGAGACACAGAGACACAGAGACACGGAGACGCAGAGACCCAGAGACGCACAGACGCAGAGACACAGAGACACAGAGACGCAAAGACGCAGAGAATGAGCGACAAAAAACACAGAGACACAGAGAGGCCGAGACGCAGAGACGAAGAGAGACAGAGACGCAGAGACGCGCAGAGACGCAGAGAGAGACGGAGAGACGCATAGACGCAGAGACACAGAGACACAGAGACGCAGAGACACAGAGACACAGAGACGCAAAAACCCAGAGACGCAGAGACGCAAAGACGCAGGGAAAGAGCGACAAAGAACACAGAGACACAGAGAGGCCGAGACGCAGAGACGAAGAGACGCAGAGACGCAGAGAACCCAGAGATGCAGAGCTGCAGAGTCGCAGAGACGCAGAGACGGAGAGACATAGAGACACAGAGGCACACACGCACACACACTCACGCAAACCAGCGTACCATGACTTATGTAAATGATCTGCCCGGAAGGGTCCCAAAGTGCAATGCCCTTAGGACGGAAATGGAGATCGCCATGCTCGCCGGCGAGGACTTCCGAGGTGATACTGCAGGGGCCCCCAAATTGTGCGAGAGAGCCATATTCCGCGTGCCATGTCGCCAGAACAATCCATGTCGCCAAAGTGAACTTGCGGCAGCATGTGCCTGCACACGCGGCTTTGCCCAGTCCAGCCCGCCGGCCGACCACTCCAACATCGCCGTCCCAGCCTTAGTCGACGGCCGAAATGGCGGCTGTGCCGGCTGGCCAGAAACCACCGTGACACATGTGCCATGGCTTTTTCAGACCCCTTGGGCTTGGTCTTGTTGAACATCAACCTTTGAACAGGGCATTTGTTTCAATGACGGGGTTGCGGAGAAGAATTAGGGATCTCATGTAAGTTTACCCAACTTGGTTCTCAGGGAATCACCTTTCGGGTTTAGGGGTGAACCTGGAGCTTGGGGGTCGAGGTGCACACGCGGCTGGTGGGTCACTCCCGTGCCATCACCTCCGTTTTCTTCAACCTGCTGGAGGACCAGCTCGTTTGGGCCTCACGAGCCAAGCGGCAATAGGGTCCCTGTATGTACGGTACGGCTTTTTTGACGTAAGTATCACATTGTTTAACCAAATTTCTGGATTCTAACACGAGCATTGGTCAAAGACTCCTGTGACTCGCTTCACACCTGCGCGTGGCGCTACCTGTGAGGTGACCACCTCCATTGATAAATCGGTCCGATTTTGGAACGTCGACACGGGCGAGATGCTGAAGGCCGCGTTCTTTTTTGAGCATCACGCTTGAAGCAATTTCGGAGCTGCTGCGTGCCCTTGCGGAGCCCAACATTTATCAAGCCCCGGTTGAGACATGGGCATGCTAGAGGCAATCCTTCATTTTTGGGGGGGACATCCCTTTATCAGCCGGGGTCGGCATTCTCTCAACGCCTGTGCTTTCCGGCAGGTCTTCACAGATTCGTCTCCAGTACCAGTTGCGGCATTTTTGCCCTTCAACCCGCAGGCATGGCTCACATGATGTCTGCAGTCCTATGCTAGTTTTGCGATGTGTGTGTGTGTGTGTCTTTTTTCGAACATGGGGAAACCCAGGCAAGACACACACCCATCTGGGAGTCACACTTTGAGGTGTCCACTCCTTGAACGCTCTGAAGAAACAGCCATAAGTTCCAAGAACATGAGTCCGAAGCTACATCTTGTTCCGCTTTCATAAAGGCCTTGTGCATGCACCCTTCAACATCGAGTTTTTGTTGCCCGCGAGCTCGCCAAAAACATCACGCTGGGTGGGAAGTTACGGAAGTGTCAGTGAATTGGTAGCCAATAGGCAACAGGTGGGGTTTGCATGCTTCTCGGCTGACATTTAGATGCCTGTGTAGCTGGCATGACTCTGGCGTGGTGTCTTACATGCACGTTTTTCACAGGCACACATGCTGGCATTGGCGCGACTGTGTTTTTGCATTGCAGGGAGGGGTCCTTTCTCTATTGGAAGCCCAGTTTTATCTTCGAATTGGCACCTAGTCATGCCTCGCAGAAAGCAGATTGGCCCCGCGCCCTATTCTCCTTTGTCAGCTGGTCAAAGGGGTTCCTAAATCAGGAGAGACGTTTCTCCCCAGCACCAGACAGGTTCCTTGCACCCAATCAGAACCGCTAAGGTTCTTTCAGAACCTCGCCTGAGCCTTGGTTCCCCTTGACTCAGGTTTCCAGCTTCAACCGCGAAGCCGGGGAAACGGCGCCGTTCTGGGTGCCAGATGCAGCGCTTCGCAGGTCTTCGTAGCTGCGAACTCCAATGCCGTGCTGCGCCTGGTGAACGTGCAGAACGGCATGGTGCTGCAGAAGTTGAAGGCGCTTAGGAGACAAAAGCGAGTGTTGCTTTGCGTTCGACATACTACTTGCCCTGTTGCTCAGTACTTTCATGGTTGAGCTGTGTGTATGGCCTACCAGCTTGGCCTCCGACGAAAATACTTGATGCGCACTGGATACCTGCTAAGTTCGCAAGACTCAATCGTTTCCCAAAGGCTGGGGCTTTGCTTGAAGTTTGTACCGGGGCGCATGCTTCTCCGTTTGGTTAGGTTGACCATTTTTATGCTCTTGTTTACAAGCGTCGGAAAAAGGCTCGTACCTACGGGGAGGACTTGTCTAAAGCAGTCTGGCGAAAAGGTAGCGTCGGCACTTCGTAACCTTCTTGATCATTTTAAGTCATTTTAGTCAAAGGAATGTCAGCTTTTTGCTGACCAACCAACTCAGCAAATCAGTCGAGGGCCGGGCAAGCTAACAAGAACGGTCTTGAGCTGCAATCGATACCAGGTTTTCGGAGTGTGATGGAGTTCCCTCCCACAAATAGACATGTTCGTTGGTGGATGGGTTTGCCCTCTCAAACATGCATGTCCGGTTTTTGGCTTGCGCCCAAAAACGCCAAGTGGCAGTGGATTTGGATTCCCGTTCCCCAAATGGCTTGATGCTGAGAGGCCCTGGGCGAGTCAAGTCGCCATAGCCAGCCGACTTGATCAGGTGGAGACGGAGGTGCGAACCCTGAAATTCGATGACACTGGCCTCTTCCTTTTGGCCATCCCCTCAGATGCCTCGAATGCACAGTCTGCCTGGAGCAAATTGACCCTGGAGCAAGTTGACCCCGGATTTTGCTGGATGCAGCAAGACATGGTATGTGGTGCATTGGTGCATGGCTGAGGCTGGCACAAAGAGTGGCAGTATCCACGTGCTGGAGGCCTGAAACGGAGCGGGGGCGCGCCTGTTTTGAGACCACATCTGGTTTTCTTTTGTCTCTTCCTTGGTTCCCGAGGGAGTTGAAGAGTTGCCAGGCGACGGATAACAACTCCCTGAAGTTCAAGTTCAAGGTGCAGTTGGCCAGAGGAGGCGCGCTTGCAAGGTGTCTCTTTGCGGTGGGGTTTGAGTGCTCTTGTCTTGACTCCGGGTTTGTTTCGGGGGGAGCTGCTGTCAGGGATGATCGGGATGGAATTATGCCGGCAATGGTATGCTAGATGTTGAGGTTGTTGCGCTTGAGGGCGTTGCAAAGCGGGAAGATTGTGAAGCCCAGCAAACAGTCAGGCCATCACCAGCAATTTGCCATTTGGCTGCGCAGGCTTGCCTTATAGGATCCATACAGGCCCCCCTGGGTTTTCTCCAAACAAGACCTTAATCCGGAGTTGCTAGGGTCTAAGGATGGTCTAAGGGGGTTTAGCGGGGGGGATTTAGTGGGGTCCGGAGGGGGGGGGGGGGCGGGGGTTGGATCCCCTGCCTTTGCAGCTCCTGTTGGATCAAGTTGCTTCCGGCTTCGCCCGAAAGCCGGGAGCGCCATGGAGGGCGAGGAGTTGCAGAGGCGAAGGCTGGACGAAGACTCCAAGAAGCTCTTGGAAACCGAGGCGGGTTGCTTGCAGTGTTTGGTGTCCGGCCCGTCAGGTACTGAGAGAATCAATAGCCCGTAGAACTGGAAGACAACGGGCGCGCTTCCTTTCAACCAGCCTTTAGCGCCTCTTCGGAGGGAATCCAAACAGGAGGTTGGTAAAAAGCTTATGAGTTGTTTAAAGCTTATGAGTTTAAGCTTAATCATATTTTGGCCGCATTGAATCGCCCGACCAACCCAGGCGGCCAACCTTGCCTCGTACTACAGCCAGCTGGCTGAGGACAAGAATGTGAGCCCTAAGGTCCGGGAGGCAGCAATGCTGTACTCCGTAGCTGAGGAGACATGGGGTTAATGCCTTTTTGAGGGTGCATCCCTTGAAAAGGGCCGTGTCTTTTTGAGGCTACCCGGTACATGTCTTTTCTGGCTTCCAGGGAAATCAGTAGCATCACAAGAGAAAGGGCACGTTTTTGGAGGATCCCTGTTTTGAGACAAACCCGTTTGGCAACTGACAGGGAAGAGCGGGAGGAGGGACTTGGGGGGGTGGCCCCGAGTTTCCCACTGGGACAACTATGCATGTCCATGAAAAAGCTTGTTGGAGTTTGTACATCTTTTGAGGTGGTATCAAAATGGAAAGCCATCATGAAGTCACCTTGTTGGGCGTTCCCCCCATTTGATTTGGGCAAAACTTGTTTGAAATCCCCCAAGCAAACGAGCTCTATTTCATTCTGTCCGCTGGTTCCCTGTAATTCCCGTTTTGGTGGCTTTAAACCTCACCATCTCCTTTAGGTGGGGTGACATAGGGGGAAAGTTGTGGGCCTGGACAAAGCCCGCAGGAGCATTTGCAGGACGATGAGGTGGAGGAGGCCCTCTCAAAGGCCGGCCAGGCGTTAGAGCTCTTCAGAGAAGCCGGCAACAAGGCCAGCGGGTTTTTGACGGACGGGCAAGGGCTACTTCAGGTTGATCTACCATTTGAGAAACTAACTTGGATTCATATCCCAATGATCTTATTCAACTTATTCAGTTAGCTGGCTTGGGCCAACCCCCTGTGCCTATTTTCGGACGTGTTCAAGCTAATTACTGTTCAAGCCTCGTTTTGGTTTGCTGGTTTAGACACATTTCGGAACCAACCTGGTCCTTCGCCCGCAGGCAGGGCAGCAGGACTCCGTGCGGCTCCTTTGCGCGGCCGAGCGCCTGAAGCAGTCCCCGGATTTTTCCATCGACAAGGCGCGACCTTGGCCCTGTGCGATCAGGTTCGTGATGTCCTTTCGGTATAGCCCGAATATGATGAAGGAAGGCCTTCTTGCTTTTGTGACCGTGGGCTGCCCAAGTGACAAGCCTGGCCCGCTCCCTTAGGTGCAGGCGGAGTTGCGAAGCTTCCGCGAGAGCGACGACAAGAGGGGCCAAGGCTGCATGCTGCTGGCACTGGCAGAGACGCAGCTTGTAAAGGCCTTGGCAGGGGAAGCGCTCAGCAACATCGAGGAGGCGTTGCCACTGCTGAGGCCGGCGCTCGCGGTTTTAAGCTTTAGGCGTGCTTGACACAACTGGGCCTCAGTACGATTTGGGAGAGAAATGGCAAAGGCTATCCCTTGGAGGGGTGGGCAGGGGGTTTATCAGTTTGGCCACGCCATGCTCCGAAAGGGCTTCAGTGGGACTAGTCGGACCCCTTGCACAAGTGAAGAGTCGTTTCTTCAGCCAGCTGCTCCCCAGATCCTCGTCAAGAGAGCGCATTACTAAGAATGACACTTTCAGGGAAGTGTGCCCTTCGCCTTTGAGTCAACAGAGGGTTTAGTCGTCCTTGGCTGAACATGCTTCAGGCCCATGTGGGCGGCAAGATTGCCCTCGCACCAAGCACCAATTTGCTGCAGTCCGAAAGGATGCCCGGGCAAACACTAGCCAATATGAACCAGACGAAGGCTCCGGTCATTTCCTTAACGCACCTAACCTGCGAGACAAATAGCAACATTTTCCGACATCTTAGCCTCACCGTGCTACCAGCCTACTTTGCAAATTGCTAATGAGATGTGAATAGTGATTCATACACACACACACACACATATGTATATACCCACACGCACATATGTATATATATATATATACAATTATGTATAAACACAGCAAATAGTATATCCCGAAATAGCACATCATGCACGGAATGATAGAAGAGAGCCGCATGATTTTCCACAGGACATGTGGCAAACACCCACTTCCCCCCCACCCTCCGCCCTCCCCAACTCTCCAACCCCAAGGCCCCCCTTCCCCCCCCCCAGGCAAGCGGGGGACAAGCGCCTGGAAGCCTTCGGCGCCGTGCTGGCGGCACGGGCCCAGCTGCGCCGGTGCCAGGCCAAGGACGCGGTGCTCTCCGCAGAGAACGCGGTGAGTTTGTACAAGGAAGCCGGCGACAGGACGCCACCGGCGATGCCGGCGCTTTCGAACTAAAACCCGAGGGACCACTTGATTGTCCCGTCCTTTGTAGAAGCCAAGGGGAGCAGAGAGGTCCTGAAAAATGGGCTCTCAAAATGTTTCGGGTTTCCCTGGACAGGTCTCCAAACTGGTGTGTCTCAAAAAACGCAGCAACCAAAATTGTGTTTCTCCCCCCCCTCACCCTGCCTTCCCTAAGCACAGCCCAGGTCCAAACAGCGCCTTTTCAAGCCTTCAAGGAGAAGACAAGCCGCGTTGCCTGGAGGATCGGGGAAGGAAAGTCCTACAACTGGCTGGCGCTGGCGCAGATGGACGCCGGCCGGCCAGCAGAGGCGCTGAGCGCTGCGCACATGGCGCTGGAGATCGCCCAGGACTTGGATAGCCACAAGCTGCAAGCAGGCGGAGGGCAGAGGGCGGAATGCAGAGGGCAGAGAGGGGAGGGGGCTGGCGTGTTCGGTGCGCTCAAACAACAATCTTAGACAAGGTACCCTTTAGGAAGAAACTCAAGGTCGATCGGCGGTGTTGTGCCAGATGGTAGCGGCTTTCATTGCTTTAGTGCGTTCCGGTTTGGGTTAATAGGCCCCCCCCCCCCCCACATTTTGCAAAACCCTTGTTAAGAGCCCTGCCCACTCCTCCCCTAGACCCCAGAAGAATCCCAGCCCCATCGATTGATTTAATATTGTTGATTATTGTCTGGCTTGGGTGTTCCTGCTGATGTATCACTTTGAGGGCGGGGCGCTCTCATTCATGACCCTATGTTTTGACATCCCAGTTGCTCGCAAACTACCGGTGTTGTTGAAGGGGGATGTCAGGACATGCCAATAGAGGACCGCGAAGCAAGGTTTCCATCGCCAAAGACAATCATCTATTCATTTTGAGAGTTTTTCATTAGGGGGAAACAAAAGGCAGGGGGCCAATCCTCAAGGCGAAGGCTTCGTTTTTCGAAGGGAACGATGCGTGAGGTGCCCTGCAGCTCCTGGCGAAGGTCCACGTCTTCAAGGAGAAGAGCCGCGCCGCGGTGCAGTTCGCAGAGCGGGCGCTGGCGGTGAGTCGCAAGGATAGACTGGGGGGAGTGGGCCACGGCTGTGATTTCAGCACAGGGCAAAGCAGGGCAACCAAAGCGAAGGCCCCCCTGTTTGGAGACAACCCCATGCGTAATGGCGGTTGCACCCATTTGAGTCAGCAGGTATTTGGGGCTCTTTCGGATTGATATTCCAATTTAAGGTTCACTAATATATGGATCAGAGTGCAACAGATTCTTTTGTTGTTGTTGGTGATGGTGGTGACTGGTGGGGGGAATTTGAGGTAGCTTCTTGGTGTTTCCTATCAGGGACCCGCCTTGACGCCTGGATGGTTGGATCCACATGCCAGGTGCAGCGGTCCAAGGCCGAGGGCGGCGCTCTGCGGCTGCTGGTGAACTCCCTGGTGCAGAGGGGCGACCTCAAGCGTGCGCTCAAGGAGTGAGAGCCACCGACCGACCAGAAAACTCCTCTGCCCCAGATTTATTTGGTTTCCAGGCAGAAATGAGGAGGGGGGGAAGTTTGATCAAGCATTGAAAGGATGAATGGAGCGGGAGAAATCAAACGTAGGATTCAGTCAGCCTCCTTGGGAGCCAGTTGATGGAACATTCGTCGACACGAACTTCCTTCGGTCGGTAGGGTGATGGTTCAACCTGCCACAGTTTTGACAAGGGTTCAATCAATGTTTGATTTCCTCCAAGGTCGGTCTGCAGCCAGAAATTGGTCCCCTGTAGAAAGTTCCTTCCACTTGTTTTCAAGTCTACACCGGGGGGGGGGGTTGTTGGGTGTGGGGTCCCAAAATCCAACTGGAGCCGAAAACATCCACTTGACGTAAGCAGGTTGGGGCTTCCTTGCCAAACCAGGGCCACTTCTTGGAGCCTTGCAAAGTGTTTCACTTCGTTTCCTTTTGGTTTCCCTTTGGTTTCCCTTTGGGCCAACCTTCAGAAGGGCACCCTCCTCCGATTCGAAGCACCGGGGCCAGGAGGCCGAGGGCGCTGTGGAGGACTACGAGGCCAGCGGCCACAAGCGCGCCGAGGCGGCGGCCCACGGCGCCTTGTCGATGGTCCGCCTGGCGCGGAATGAGCTGGACCTGGCGGCCAGTGAGCAGAACCAGGAGCTCAGAAAACACAAACCGCTTGTATTTCGGGGCTCCTGCCTTGACGTAGCAGCATGTTTGGTTTTCTTTTGGCTTCCTTTTCCCTCGGGTTGGGAAGTATGTCTTGTCAAATGTTTTTTGCCACGACTCGTGCCAACACAAGGTTTTTGGCTTCCTTCTAGGTTTCTTGCAAAGAAACCAGGCGCGCCCACTGTAGCCGGGGGGTGGGTTGTTGCCCAGGGTTGAGCAGCATGGTGATTAAGGAACAACAGTAGTTTTAGCGTGCTTTCACCCCATGCATCGGCTCAGTTTTGAAATGAAGTAGCAAAGGACATCAAAGGACCAAGGGCTCTCTTTTTTCCTCATGGGTGCCACTGGGCAAGTAAGTGGTCGATTCACCATTCACTTGCGTTCCGCCCCCTAAACTCGGGGACTTTCAACCCATCGACTTGGATGCGCCTCTTGATCACCCAAACCCCGACCCACAACCCCCAAGCCCAAACGGTGGGCCTGTCGACGTCGCACAAATCGCTGAGAGGAGCTGGATTTGCTGAAGGAGCTGAACGACAAGCATGGGCAGCTGGAGGCAAAAAATAATCATGATTTGAGCCCGGAAGGGCTTCACGAAAATCTCGGGTGGGCATGGTGGGCTTAGCTTCCGGCTTCCCACCCCCGCCTTTTTGGTGGGCCAGGCCATGCTGTCGTTGTCGAGCATCTTCGCGTCCATGAAGAAGCCGGGCCAGGCGAAGGAGAAGGCGGAGGAGGCCAAGCAAATGGCGGACGACATCCAGGCTCGAAAGGGTCCGAAAAAGTCCACGTCCAAAGGGACCCTTTCAAAACGTAGCTCAAATTTCCATGCTTTCCCCTTGGCGGGTAAATGGAACATCATGAATACCCAGCAAAAACGGGGGTTCCTGATTTCCAGGTAAGTGTGGGATCGTGTGGAATGATCAGCTGTTGGTCATTCAGAGTTCAGGTTCCTGTATAGGGTGGAAGCATGGCTTTGCTTCCCCCATACGCGTGTTGCCGTGTTTCCGGTTTGCTCTCAGAGCGCAGGGCTCGGCCCTGGAACCCTAACGGCCCTTGTCAAGCCCCAAAAACCAAAAGGGGGCAACTTGCGGCAAAGAGTTTCCCGAGGACAAGAAGGCGGAGGTGCTCGCCACGGTGGCCCTGGCCACTGCGCAGATTGCGGAGCAGAAGCACGAGGAGGGAGGGGGAAAGTTGTGTTTGAGCATTTCCAACGCTCTGACGATATTTTTTCCCTCTGAAGGGAGCCTGAAAAGGTGAGGGTTGATGCTGACCTAACGGCATGGTTCTGTGCAAGTGGTTGGCCGCCCGGCCTTCCCACCTGCCCACTGCACGAGGATGCCGCGAACACCGCGCAAGAAGCACTGCGCGCGGCGAAGGAGACGGAAGACAGGCACTTAGAAGCCACGGCCTTGACGGCGATCAGCAATGTGCAGCTCGATTCGATCAGTTGTTCCGCTCTCGCGTTCAAATCAGCCCCTCCATCCTTTGGTGTGCGACTGGAACTCCACACCTTTCCTTTCACCCCTTTTGAAAGGCTTGTGGGTTTGATGTGGCTATGCATTTTACTGGGGAGCTCAGCTCGCTCAAACATGGTCGGCGCCTACAAATCCTGATGTTTTGTTGATCCACCAAAAGGCTTATTTCTGAGTTATGAGTACCTGCATCGTGCTTGAAGGATCGTCTCTTAGGAATTTTGGAAGCGACGCGTCCGAGGTACTGCGCGAAGTCGGAGTTCGCCTCGGGCGTGGCCAAGCTGCTGGATGCCAAGGCCATGGGGCGTTGCGTTTTAAGCCCTGGCTCAAAGATTCAAAGTTTTCTCGGCTCCAAATATCACCTTTTGGAAAGGCCAACTTATAGCGATAGCGAGTGACGCATGAAGGAGGAGCATGTGTACTTCTCAAAACCCCCCCCCCCCCCGTTTGGGGGTGTAAAGGGTGATGCCCGCTGCAAGTTGTAGTAGATTTGGGCGTCACATGGTCGACCGATTTGGACGCCGTCCCCCCATCACAACGTGCATCCAAGGAGGGAAAGGAAGTCACATCATGTGACGCTCGATTTCCCAGCTGGATTTACTTGTCGCAGTTGTAGGGGCCCAACATCTTTTAATGAAACACGGCCACCCCTCAGAGCCGGGCCCGAAGTGCCAGGCACTGCTGTTGGAGGCCCAGGACAAGCGCGGCGCGGCGGCGGCGCTGCTGAGTTTGGCGGAGGCGCACGTGGCCGCCAAGGCGCCGGAGGAGTCCATCGCCTGCGCGGAAGAGGCCAAGGACCGCGGAGAAGTCGGGTCTTTCACTGGTTTTCGGTTTGTTCAAAGGACACCAACCATTTTGAGAAACCACATGGGTGGTTTATGGGGAAACCCGAAAAGCCACAAAATATGGGGTTGCCCATTTGGACGGGTGCTCCCAATTGGCGTTGTTTTCCCCAACAGCTGAAAGCAGCTTTCCGGACTTCCTTCCGCTAGTCGGACGGAAATTGCAACTGCGCCCAGAAGATGCGCCCCTGAGCCAAAACCAGGGTCCCTCAGAGTGGTTGTAATTTGAGAGTCTCGCAAAATTACCGTTGGGAGCGGGAAGTTTTTCAGGAAGAGCCATTTTTCGGATGTGATGTCGCTTCAATAGACCCGACACCGTCATGGAACACCACAATTTCTCTTTGAGAGGACAGTTTTCTTCCATCGAAGTTCCCATAGTTGCTACGTTAGTGTGTCGCCTTGCCAAAGCTAATCAGATTGGTGTGGCTAAGGAACTGCCCTTTGTTGATTTGCGGATAAGGCACAACTCGTTTGGGTGTTTCTCAAAATGAGGGGTAATCTATGATCATCCGTTCCAGTTCCAGGCAATGGGCCTTCTGGTGGTTGGCGCGCTAAGGAAAACGGCTTGGTGTGGTTGCCAGGGTTCGGATGCTCGTTGCCTCGTTGTGGAGGACCTTTGCCGTGAGGTGGACTACAAGAGGGGCTATGCCGATGCTCTGCAAAAGCTGGCGGCAGCTCATTTAGCCAATGGCAATGAGAAGGAGGCCTGGGGGCCAAGCTGCCGATTGAAAGGAACCTCAGAATGGTTGGATGCTGTCAGCCCGGGAAATCGCATCAACTGCTTGTGGTCATGAGCGTGCCAGTGGGGGAAGTGTCAGGGTAATTCGCATCAACTTGCGTTTGCAGTGGGGAAACGATTCATACGTGATGAACACTTTTCGTGAGTGGGGAGCAGCTTTTGCGTTCCGCATGTGGGCGTTTTTGGTGTCAATGTGGGTTTGCCAGAAAGGCTTGTGGAAGAAGAGAAGTGTCGTGCCAATGGGGGGAGGGTGCTCACTCAAGCTTCCGGGCTTTCGACCTTTGCTTGGCATACGGCCGCTAGTGTCATGCAAGACTTCCAGTTCCCCTGCAGCGCGTTTCACAAGATTTTCCCAAACAGCTGAAAGCGATGGGGTTTCAGTGCCAGATGGCTCCGTTGTCCGGCTGGCTCTAAGGCAAGGTTCTGCAGGGTCGTGCGAGGGTTCCACAAGGCTCCGCGAGGGTTCCGCGAAGGTTCCGTGGATGCACAGGGCAATTCCAAGGAGGGTTCTGCGAGGACGGGCTGGTTTGGCAGAGCCAAGTGATCTCGTCTAAATCTCGTCCGGGTCTCGTCTGGATCTCGTCGCGGGCTGGCAGAGAGAAGTGGGCGCAAGCTGTGTCTCACAATCGCAAGTTTAGGTTTCAGAAGATCGCCAAGTGATTATGAGCGTTCCTTGGGAATGTGATGTTGAAAGCACTCACAAACATGTGCCGCGAAGTGCGTTCCCTGATTCACAAACGCATAGGCAACGCGCGTTTTGAGGCGACTAAAACATCATTGGCTAATACTTTTGTGACATATATTGCGACGTTTACAGTGGCCGAGAAAGTTGAGGTGACTTTCCGGGGCTGTTGATGTGCAGCGTTCCATGGGGGCAAGGATCTCGGCCAGAAGTTGAGGCAACCTCCTGCGACCACAGTAACTCCTTTGTCCACTGGCCCCGATGGTAAACCTTTTATTTCCATGTCCTTTGGGCAACTAAGACTTGTTGCAGGCCCCTTCAATTTTGCGCGAGGCGATCAAGCAAGCGCTGGTGGCCAGGAAGTATTGCAAGGCCATTGAGGATGTGCGTGGAGAGACTGCCTTGCTGCATTTGTTGGCTTCCTCAAGCCTGCAACGAGGAGTCCGTTGAAAAAGTTTGGAAGAATCATGCCGTGCTACTGAGCGGACTTTGCAGGTTCATGATCCTTCTTTGCTGCGGCCTGGGGAGGTTTATGTGAGTTTTCCCTCATGTAGCCTGCTGAAGCCTCCCAAAAAAGGGATCTTCCCACACGCCGTCCAAGCATTAATTGACGCGCCCGCATGTAACCCGACAATGGCCGCATATATCCATCGCTTTGCGGCTTGAGGGTAAAGCGGATCGATCAGGAGACAAGAAAGGGCAGGACCTGCAGAAGATGGACCCCAAGAAGCAGATGGAGAGCGGCCCGGGCATCGAGGCCAATCGCCAGCTCCGGAACTCCGCCCACGAGGCCGGGCGCCCGTGGGGCTTCTGGCAAGCGAGCGGAACAAAACCAGTTGGGTGTTTCTCACAAATTGGGATCCCCTTTTAGCATGGTTGGAACGGGAAACCCAAAGTATGGGGTCCCTGGTTTTGACAAAGCTGGGGATGGTGAGCAAGGATGAATCAATCGTATCAGTTTTGGTCGCAAACAGTTGGGGCGAGAATAGGGTGCCCAAGAACCGTTGGCCTTGGCCTGGAATAGGACCATTCTCAAAGGACATGCGACGCGGCACGCGTAAACATGTGAAGTGCGGAGCTCTTGTCCCAACAGAAACATGAGTGCGGCTACTCTTCAGAGCTTGGCCTGGATGGCGGAGTTTGTAGCAGTCTCCGCCGGCAGATCGACGGAAGCCGTGCCCAGATCGAATGTGACCAAAGTCGTGATCGTTGCTTATTGAATGGCCTGCCAGCATCAGGCCTTTCAACATGGTGATTGCAAAACCTTGCCGGCTGCAGTCTGGGAGTGCGCAGCCCGCGGGAAAAAGCAAAAAGGATTCGGTTCCCGTCTCAAATGGGACGCAGGGGTTCAGGGACACGCTTCGTTGGTGGTTTGGGGGTTTCAAGCCTGGGTTCTTTGTGGGTAAATGCGGAAGCCAGAGCCGGAACACCTCCAAACCACCAATCCAATCCATGAGGCCGTGAAGCGGTGCCGCTCCGCCATCGCCCTGGCCAAGCGGAACGACGACCCCCACGCGGAGGCCTCGGCCATGGCGCACCTGGCGCATGCCCTGGCCATCCTCAACCGAGGGCAGGCAGAGAACCCAAAAGGCACTGTGGATGGACGAAATCCTGCACCACTTTCAAACCACGGGAAGCTATTATCAATTGTGTTTTACAGGGCTATCAGCATCAATTAGGTGGTGCAGGATTTCAGTAGGTCCCCTTTTGGTTTGAGCTTGAAGCCACCCCTCATAGGGTTCCTTCAACTTTCTGGGCAAGCCGGGAAATTCGTGGTTGCCAAATTTCCTCCTCAAAAACTCGCAGGGAAACTCAGCGCTCAGATGGTTTAGCAACGGAGGGCCATTTTTTTAAGGATTTTTTTCGTTTTTTTTAGGAATTATTTTTGTTTTTCAGGGTGGGTGGCTTTTCGGATTTTTTTGCTTTTGTGGCTTTTACGTTGGTCTTTGTGGCTTTTCACTTCGCATCCTCTGCATTCACAGTTCCTCTCTTTCGCATCCTCTGCATTGCCAGTTCCGCTGGCTTTTTGGCTTCGTGGCTTTTGGCGGCTTTCTGGCTTTGGCTTTTCGCATCCTCTGCTTTCTCAGTTGGTTTTTGGCCTTGGCTTCCTGCATCCTCAGCATCACAAGTTCCTCTCTGGTGCCCCCCGCCACCCCCTTTTCGATGAAAATGCACACCTAATTGAATCATCACTTTTTCGATCATCATGCGACAGCTGCTTTTTAGATTCTTTGGCTGCCGTTTTACAGGGATAGTTTGCCCGTGATTGAATCCTCACTTGTACCATGAGGCCTTGCCGCAGAGGAACTGATGACCCCCCCGCTGCTTTTTTTATTTTTTTTGGCCCTAATTGAATCATCACTTTTTCAATCATCGTGGGGGGGGGCTGCCGCCCCCCCCCAACCCCCCCGCTATTTTTTGGACTTTTTGCCCCTATTTGAATCATCAATTTTTCGATCATCATGCGACCGCTACTTTTTAGATTCTTTGCCCCTAATTGTTCGATCATCATGGCGGGGCTGCCGCCCCCCCCCCAACCCCCCGGCTATTTTTTAGACTTTTTGCCCTTGATTGAATCATCACTTTTTCGATCATCATGCGACCGCTACTTTTTAGATTCTTTGCCCCTAATTGTTCGATCATCGTGGGGGGGCCTGCCGCCCCCCCCAACCCCCCCGCTATTTTTTAGACTTTTTTGCCCCTGATTGAATCATCACTTTTTCGATCATCATGGGGGGCTGCCGCCCCCAACCCCCCGCGCTTTAATTGAATCATTTTCATTATGGGCTGCCGGCCCCCCCCCCCCCCCCCCCAACCCCCGTTATTTTTGGATTTTTTAGATTCTTTGCCCATAATTTTTCGATCATCATTGGGGGGCTGCCGCCCCCCCCCCCCCAACCCCCCTGCGCCTTTAATTGAATCCTCACTTTTACGGGAAGCCAATTTGCTGGTGATGCTGGCGATGTTGGCTGGACATGCGGGGGATGTTGAAAACGATGCTGATGATGTTGACGGACGTGTAAAATACGTACATTTCGCGAGAAAATGCTGTAAATTACAGCATTTTAGTAGCCAGGACGGAAAACAAAAAAAACCCAAAATAAAACAAAAAAAAATCCAAAATTAAATCTCGACCTTTTAGCAACAGCCAGGGGGTCGCTCCCTTGACCCTACTGGTGAAACTGTGCTTAAACAAGGAGAAATGTTTTTCGCCAACAACTTCACAGGAGGGGCTCGCGACCTGCAAGCGGGCGGAGGACCTGCTTCTGGGCCTGACATAGTGGGTTTGCTTAGAATCAGTTGGGCGCTTCTCAAAAACGTCACTCCCTCCTTTAGCCCTTTGAAAGGGAAATGAAAAGGAAGCCACCTATTTTAATGAGGGGCCCGTTTGGAGGCACCATTTGCGATTTCTTGTTCAACAAGGGGGACCCCTCTCGCATCCCACATCGCGGTCAGTCCATGCCAAGTGGATGTGTTTGCGCGGTGGTTTACTTGCGTTCCTCCTTGCCTCCTTTCCCTTGGTTTCCTCGGGTTGTCCCTGGCAGTCTCCAAGCCGGCTGCGAGGTTCCGAGAGTGCGGTGCGGTGGGGCAGCAGGCCAGCGCCGCCTGCCTGAGTGCGGAGATCGCCAACCTCATGGGCAACAAGGGCAAGGCCAGGGGTTACAAAATTGACCAAAGCAACCTGGCCCGATAGATGGTCTTAAGAGGAAAACCAGAAGGTGGTGGTTGAGACATGTGCGTGCGTCTTCTAAGGCGCCTTTTCATGTTGGCTTAAAGGGAAACCAAAAGGAAAGCTACCATGTCGTGGTTTTTGATACATACCATCGTTGGTTGCAAAAAATGGTTGACCCCCTCTTCCCTGTGGCTTTGTCGAGGGAAACTAGAAGGCCTTGGAGCAACCATGCATGTTTCCATGGTTCTAGGGTGGCTTAGCCCATGTGTCAAAAAAAAACCAAGGGCCCCAATCCTTTTGTCCTGGTTTCCCTTTGCAGCCCAAAAACGGATACCCAAGAAACACGAAGCCCATGCTTCGACAGGTTTCTGCATGTCAGGCCATGGAGCTTGCCAACCGCGCGCTGGAGCTCGCGAGGCGCGCGGAGGACACGGAGGCCGTTGGGGAGGGGAGGGGAGCGGCGTGGGAGGCAATTTGGGAGGGACATGGGGGACATAGGGACTCACGCAACGCCCTCACAAAAGCAACTCATTAAATTTCCTCTGCCCTTGGGCAAACATGGAATTTTGACTCATATGGGTGTGTGCCAAAACTAGGGGCAGACATCAAACAGGTAGTTTTGTTTCAATTCCACCTGAAAACGGGAGGCAGGGGGAGGGACGGCACGGGAGGGAGGGATGGGGCAAGTTTGGGTGTTGCGGGCAGCAGGGGATGCCGTTGAAGTGAAGAATTTGCCAGGCCTATTTCACAGACCCAAAAGTTGCGCAGGCTTTGCCGTCGCTTGTGTGTAGTTGCATTGATCACTCAAGCGGCTTTGGTGACTGAGAAAACAAAAGGCGCCAAGTCAAGTCCTTTGGTATCAGACTTGCAGCACTTCAGTTCGGCCAACCGGCCATTTGAGGGGTCTCTCGCAATTGAATTTTTTATCTTTCGATCGGACGAAAGCCAAGTCCGTTTGGTTTCGCTGGTGCAGGCAACAGGCAGGCACAAGGTCAAACGGGTTCTTG